GCACTCCTTACTTTGGTTGTTGTGGGTTTTTCGGGCTTCTTGGCCGTGTTCTGAAGGTGGTTCTTCCTAACGTTTCACCAGTCTCTGTGGCCGGCATCTTCAGAGGACAGAAAAACCCACAACAACCATTAGATCCCGGCCGTGAAAGACTCCTTACTTTCTTTCCTTCCTCCTGGATGCCAGTCATTGCGTAAAAGCACAAAAACGAGAACCCCAGCAGCTTGAAGCTTGCCTTTGGTTTTGAAAAAGCCCCCTCCCCATTCTGGTCCTGCTGGGAGCATTGCCTTAAATGGTTTGCAATCCTATTGCGTAGCCTCGAAGGTCACCCTAGAGTAGGCCCACTGACGCTTGTGGGGATTGAGCGAACCCACTCCTTCCTCAGTTGCCGTGATTCAAACAGGCCTCCTCTAGTGGTGTCTTCCTCTGCTAAGCTACAGGGTTTCAGCCGTTGCATCATTAGGGCTGCTGGATGGGCTTCTGTGTAGCTAGGGTATCCACTCAGGGAAGAAACCCTATAAGTGCTTGGAGTGCAGAAAGACTTTCAACCGGAGCAGAGGTCTTGCTCATCATAGGAGACTCCACAGAGGACAGAAACCCTATAAATGCTTGCAATGTGAAAAGCGGTTTTAGCAGAAGGAACATCTCACTTCCCACATGAGATTCCACACAGGAGAGAAGCCCTTTAAATGTCTGGAATGCAGAAATAGCTTCCGTGATACAAGCAACCTCTGTTTACACTAGACAGTCCACACAGAGGAGAAACCCTTTAAGCGTCTAGAATGTGGAAAAAGCTTTCGTCACAGCAGGTACTTGGTTTCCCATATGAGAATCCACACAGGAGAGAAACCCTATAAATGCGTGCAGTGTGGAAAGAGCTTCTGTCACAGAGCAAGTCTAAGAACTCATCACAGAATCCACACAAAGGGAGAAATGTTGCTGAAGTGTGGAGAAATGCTGGTTTCTGACTTACAGATTTATAAATGCTTTTGATTTTTTTTTATACTTCATTGTTTAATCTTTATGTTTAATGGTTTCTTAGATGTTTTAATTATGTAATGTTTTTACATTTGTTGTTTTATCTGTTCTGAGCTGCCTTAGGTCACCAATGGGGGGATAAGGTGTCATATAAATTAAATAAATAAATAAATAAATACATAAATAAATACTATAAATTGTCGTGAGTGCTATCCTTTTTGGCGAAAGGTGGGGTGAAAATGTAAATAAATAAAAATAACATCCACACTCATTTCATAAAACTTAAAAGTTTCTCTGCCCTCCTACTGTGATTAAACGAAACAAATATTCCGCGCAGTCTTTCTCTCTTTCCCTTTCATTGTATCTCACCTTTCTCTGCAATCTGGGACTCAAGGCGGCTCAGAGCAAATTTAAAACGGGCACAAAGACAGACAAGAGACAACAATTAAAAAACCCAGAGATTTTTAAAAATCCAACATCTGTCCATTGAAAGTGTATTTTCTTAAGTGCTGCTGGAGAAAGAGCGCAGGGATTTTAGGCATATGACTGTGGGGTTCAGGTTCTTCCTTGACGAGCGGCTGGACTCGATGATCCAGAGAGTGATGGTTCTCCAAAGGAGGTAGAGCCATGGAATCCTAGTTCCTAGATGAGCAGACAAAAATAGAAGTCACTTCCTGTTTCCACCCAGAAGGTGCTCCCGTCTTTTCCTTCCCGGAAGAGCCCCCTCCCCTCTTCAGAGTTCCAGGTGGAAGTGGAGGCGCCTCTTAGGGAAGCTGGGAAGCCCCTGAGAAGGGGAGAAGGAAGGATGTGGGGCAGTGCTTGGAGAAGCTGGTTGTGGGGCTTGGCTTGAGGGAGAAAGAGGTCAGGGCGTTGCGAGAAGGAGAGGGGGAAGAAGGGGAGCCCTAATCTGGCGGGGAGTCCCTGGAAGACCCTCCCTCTCTCCCTCCCTTCCTTCCTTCTCTCTCTCTTCCTCCCTCCAAGGCCAGGGCAGGTGAACCTTCTCCAGGGCTTGTCCCCAAACTCCCCTCCTCCTCCTCCTCGCGCTCCTTCTTCCGCAGTTTGGAAACAAAGACAATTAAACAAAGAAGATTAGAACAATCCTAAATGCAACGAAAACAGAACAGTCAATTCAGGATAGGATATCCCATCATCTTAGTTAGAGGTTAAGAATTCATCAAACTTTTCAGAGCTTCGAAAGTCGAAAGAGCATCCAGCACAGACCGAACCTTGTTTTCCCTCAGGAAATTGAAACAGAGAAACCCTTTAAATGTGTAGACTGTGGAAAGAGCTTCAGTCACAGGGCATACCTGGCTTGTCATCTGGGGATCCAAACTCGGGAGAAAACATTTAAATGCTTGGAATGTGGAAAGAATTTCCATCAGCATGGTGACCAGCCATTTGAAAATCCACACAGGGGAGAAACCTTTTAAATGCCTGGAATGTGGAAAGAAGATGGACTCATGCCGTACGAGACTTCTTTTCCGATGCACACCACTATCTGCTTGCTATTCTTTAAAAAATTTATTGTCATTGTATAGACATATACAATTCACAGTGATACCCAGAGACCAGACCCACATGCACACACATAAAAATTCCCAAACACTCCTCACCCACTAAAAATCCCCCACTAGGAACCCAAACATCTGCACCGCAGGCGAAGGAACACTATCCAACTGTTCACTGCTGATGGTCTTTAAGTTCATAATTGACTGCAATTATAGCTCTGGGATAAAAATTACTGTATTTAGAAAACATGTGGTCGGAGTTTTAATTGTTCTGTATCTTCTGCCAGACGGCAACTATCCCAAAGGAGCAGCCATTGCAGGTGTACCTTTTGTTTGATGTTGTTTAGTCGTTAATTCGTGTCCGACTCTTCGTGACCCCATGGACCAGAGCACACCAGGCCCTCCTGTCTTCCACCGCCTTCGGAGTTGGGTCAAATTCATGTTGGTGGCATCGATGACACTGTTCAACCATCTCATCCTCTGTTGTCCCCTTCTGCTCCTGCCTTCGCACTTTCCTAATATCAGGGTCTTTTCCAGGGAGTCTTCTCTTCTCATGAGATGGCCAAAGTACTGGCGCTTCAGCTTCAGGATCTGTCCTTCCAGTGAGCACTCAGGGTTGATTTCCTTCAAAATGGATAGGTTTGTTCTCTTTGCAGTCCAGGGGACTCTCAAGAGTCTCTTCCAGCACCACAATTCAAAAGCATCAATTA